AGCGGTGCTTATAAAATAACTCCTTCGTGTTTCTTGGTCTTCTGGGTACCACTTACTAATTTCCACCCCTTAGAGAATATGGTACTAAAGCAATGTGGATGTGGTGGTTCTGCCATGAACTTAAAGCCACAGGAAATTAGAGTTTGAATTAGCAATCAGATGTTTCTCATTGTATATTCAAAGAGGTTTGAATAATGTGACATGCCCTTTTAGTAATTAATTAGACCTATACTTTGTGCCATAGATCAGTGCGAATTCTTATCAGAAAATGAACGAAATGCAGCAATACCAACAAGAAAAAAACAAACCTCTAAAAACTTTCCAAAGTGGCTCTCCTGTTAAATAAATCCTCATTTGAAGTCTTTACAGCTCCATACTGCAAGTATCTGTATGGTCTGTGTTTGTTCTACATGCCAGAGCTTTCTTTCCTGAACAGTTTCACTCAGTATCTGCACTCAATATGTTGTTCCTTGAGAAACTTCTGGTTCCAAAAGTGTAATGGAGGTGCCAGCAGATTACTTTGGAATAATAAGAGGGATCTTTACTCGCACATTTTGCTGATCAAGAAATAGAAGTATATTCAGAACTCCCTTCAGCTGATTCAGGGTTTTCCAACTCGAATAATTTATTTGCGTTTCCTTTTCTGTCTGTCGTAGGGGCCACATGCCAGAGTGGTACACGAAATCTTTTGGACATTTGTGTGCAGCTGAAGTTGTAAAGATCCGAGACTCCTTCAGTAATCAGAGCACTGAAACCAAAGACACCAAATCTAGGTGATTCCCAAAGCCTGTCCATTATCTGGGCCTTTGTTTCTAGAACCCTTGCCAGTCCTTGGAAGATTGGGTTCAGTGTCTGATCCTGAAACAAAACTACAAGCTGGAGTGTGGGAATTGACTAGAGTGATTTGATACATTTTTAAAGCTGCTTTCTATTTGTTTAAGGTCTGTATTATGGACCTTGACTGGAATATATGACTGTGCAAAAAAAAAAAAGTATTCCTATTCGAATTGCTTCTGAGAAGCAAAACTATAAATACATTAGGGAAAATAATGAAGAGACGTCATTCTCTTGCGATGTCGGTGTCTGTGTATGTGTACCTATGTCATTTTCTTTGCAGTGTGTGGAGGGACTGGTGTATCCACTGGAATAGTTGGTCCTCTTTGACATATTTTCTCGCTGAGAAGAGCAAAGAAAGGTTTGCACAGAGGGGTGTGTGTATGTGTGTTTGTTGCTGGTCGAATGGCATAGATGTGTAAGTTGGGCTACAGTGTCTGGCACACTGAGACATCTCCAAGAAGGATCTTGATGCATCAGGTTCAGTTTAACCTGGGATATCTGACTACCCATGGAATTATCCAGAAAGTGAACCCATTTATTTTGGGGTGTCAGACAACCCACCCTTGTCTTTTTTTTTTCCTGAGTTAGTAAACATTTTCCTTCTCCACCAACCTCTTCTTTACCTTAAAAGTGATTTAATAAATTTACTTGGATAGCCCATTTTAAACACAGTTTGTCTCTAGACCTGATTGCAGATAGCAAAGTTGTTTTTATCCAGTACAGGTGAATTCAGGGATGGAAATTCCCCCTTGCTAGCTCCAAAGCACAGTTTTGTTTTTTGGTTTTTAAGTTGAGATGTGAAAACTGAGCACTCTTAACATCTACTCCTGAATCAAATATCAACACTTTTTACGTGTCTGCAAATTCTTTGCATTTCCATGTTAGGAGAAACTCTTTAAGGCGCTATGTATGGGAACACAGGAAACTGTGTCCCAAGGAAATCCTTGTAAATTTAACCCAACCACAAAAGTTGTTTGTTGTTAGGGTTATTAACAGCATTTTTTGAAAGCTGCATATGTTAATTGGATTTGTCCTTCTCAGCAAATAGGGTTTTTTTTTTAATTTTGTTTTTCTTACATTTCTTTTTCTTCTCCTTTATGAAGCCCCTGGAAATATTTTTTAGTAGTAATGGAAAGTAGTAATCACAGTAAAAAACAAACAATCAAAAACACACTAGTGCAGGGCTTTGGCAGGGTGGTCTTTATACAGGTTTTACTGTAACGGTAAAGGTTGGCTCAAAAGACAGTATTAGTGAATTTATTTTATATGGATCAAAAGTGAATAATGTATGAATGAGAGTTGTAAGAAGGACTTTTATTTTGTTATAATTTAGTTACCATTGTCAGTGTTATTTCAAAGGTTCTTTGAAGAATTAGGGGGCAGGGGACAGATCAGAGTTTAATTTGAGTATTTTGGATATTAGCGTGCCTCTTGAAGATATACTTGTATATTCAACTTTAATGGCTTTGAGATTTGTAAGATTATATGTTGTATATACCATTCTATTAAAAAACATGTACGCCTACCTGTCCACTGTGCTTTCCAACACAGATAAAGCATGATAAAGATTATTATTTAAAATATACTTGTATTTATACCTCAGATATTCTTTTGGATTTTGTACCTCAAGGCTTTTTTGGTTTGTTTTCTTTTCGTTTGTTTTTTGCTAATGTAAATACACTATACGTGAATACAGTCTAAGTGAAAAAAAGTAAATAAGAGGTTTATAACTTGCTCTATATCTGTACAGAATATAATCAATAAGTGCACTATTAAATGTTTAAAGTAAGGGAAACGTCTGGCCTGCTTTCCACTGTATCACATCTCACTCCCACCCGTAAAGCCACAGATGGCAAGGCATACCATCCTAGCATCAACTAAAATGAAAATACAGATTTGCTACAGGAAAAATCGGACTGCAAATCATTCCAAGGCCAAACTGCAACTGAGCCACTCACTAACAAACAGGAAACCCTGGTGAAGGTTCAGGAAGCACAGAGATGCTCTCCAAACAAAGGTCTCGAGGAAACGATACTGAGAAAGTTACAAGAATAAGCAACAACAACCGAAAGATGCTCATAAGCAAAGCCAAGGTCACCGATTCATTCCACAAAAGGTCTCTTTCCCACTGTTTGGCTTTCCTGTTGAAAGGATTCCTTACATATTTGACCAGAGGAGAATGTGAAGGATGTGAACATTTTCAAGAACTCTGCTTTAAGCCACCTAAAGTGATATTGCCACAACGTACTAATTGTGACTAATTGCCTAGGTTGTAAGCTCTCTGAGAGCAGGGCTTCTACACGTCTTTATAATCCCCTACAGCAGCTTTCAGTGTTTTGTACTTGTAGGCACCTAATAAATTTATTATTTGCCAAATGGAATTGATTGAATCAGCATCTGTTATTTGAAAAGGAAGAGAATCTAGGATGCTGTCTGTCTTAAGCCCTCACTTTGGTTCATCAATGCCCATTTTGAGATGGCAGAGACTGGAACTTGTTAAACCTAGTGAAATCTTAAAACTGGCAAAGATGACATAGATATTCTACAGAGATGCTCTGGATTCTAAATTAGAGAGTTCTTTGTGCTGGAATTTCAACCAGTCTCATTCCTCCAATACAATGTGATATGCATCTTAGATTTGATTTTGACAAATACTCACTCTGGGCATAATAAAGGGGAAAAACCAATCTCGATATAATTTTTTTAAAACACACACACAGACCAAAGCCTTTTTTATTTACTTCTGCCTCCAGTCCTGGTTTCCTCAGAGCCACATAAAATGGAAGATCAAAACGTCTGAAATACCTAATAATTCAGTTGTTTGCACAGCTCTGGAGTCATGAGTTACTAATAGGCTACATGTGGTTACCAGGATGGAAGAGATGCTCTCACGGGCATCCAGGTAGATTCAGATTGCTTTTGTCACGACCCATTCTCCTATTTACCTCATTTAGTCAGTTATTCCAACACCTATTTATATTTAGCTCACACAGTGCTCAGACCTGAAGATTCCAAAGTCCTGAAAATCTGCTCTCAGAGATACTAAGATAGAAATGATAACGCCCCATAGCATCCTGCCTACCAATTTACAGATGGCATAACTTGGAAGATTCTAACAAAATTAAATGGATTCTTAAGAGTGTTTGTTTTTTTTTCCCCCTCCCAGGGCTAAGGGAAACAGCTGAGATTTCGGGAAAGTAAAAACTGAGGAAAAACTAGGGAAGATAATCCAAATCGGTGCTTTTCCAACACCACTGGTTAGGGGTGTGTGTGTGTGTCCAGGGGGAAACAAAGGCAATAGAGAGGTGTGTGGGATGTTATAGTTACACTCGTGGGTCTTTATGCCACCTTTGTCCACTTTTCACACACTTAATCCTCACACGCACCCCACAAAGCATAGGTATTATCCTTCTAAGGACTATGGCTATGACTTAGTGACGAATTAAGGTGCCCAGAACCAGAAAGAGGAGCTGAAAATTCCAGCTCAGTACCTCTACCCCAGACCGTCTCCCATCTGCCGATCTTTCTCTAATCCGGAGGCAAACTCACAGTAAGGGCCGATTGCGTCAGCATCAGAATCAGGAAGAATGCAAGGAAAAGGAAGATTCATAGCAAAATAACCACATTAGTCAAGGTTGCCAAGAAATTATTCTGTCACCCGATTACTGAGATGCTTAAGGAGAAATTAAGTAGGTCAAGATAAAGGTGAGGCAAAAGGTTTGTTTCAGGTTGAAAGAATTTGTAGTTCTGTTTGCAAATTGAATACGTGATTTGCAGTGTACCGAGACTCCAGGGATGCCTCCCTGTGAGGCATAGGACCTGCTCCTCCCCACCTGCAAGCGCAGAACGATCTGACGTGGGGTCAGATTGCAACCCACCCAACCCCTCTGAGCTTGCATTGCTTCATGGATACAAGGGGCATAACTACTTACAGGCTTCTTAATCTGCAGCCCAGGACCAGAAGGCCAGTCCTGTGACTTTCTGCAATTCGTCGTGATGCCCACCACACAAGAATATCATGAAGTGCAACTGACATATTTGTGAAGGTGCTTTGAAAACCAAGAGCTATTGAAAGGTAAAGGAGCCTTCATGAAAGCAAAGTGGAATTTAGCCCAAATGCTTTTCCCCACCTGCCTGTTGAAGCATACATAAATGATTATAAAGCAGAAATCCTAAACAATGAGATCATGGCATGCATGTCATCTTGGTGTTCCATCAGGATGAAATTTGCCTAAGGAATTTAAATTCCATTTGCCTAAGGAATGCAAATTACAAAAAACCTCAAAGAGCCTGTGGCAGGGAAAGCTCAGGTAGGTCTGTGCAGTTGCAGTGAAATTGGGCCCATTCTTCAGGGAATGATCAGTTTTTTTCAGGCTGGGAGTTTGCTAAATCATGTTGGCAGCTGTAGCCCAAAGTAATTACCCTCTCTGTGTATACACAGTTCCCATTAGAGCAGCCGGTTTGCCTGTCTGGACCCAAGGCTGTGTTGACAACTGTAGTATAAACACCTCTTTGCAGAGATTTTTCATCTCGTTAGACTTAAAAAAAAAAAAAAAAAAATGAGGGCAAGAAATGTTGTTCCTCATAGGGGATTTTCATTTCTTTCTCTTTTCCTATCAAGATACAAAGCACTGTGGAAAGCAAAAGCCTTACTCTTTTTATGACGCATCATCAGCCATGATTTGGTGATGTTGTTCCCACAAAATTAGTGACTTGTTCCCATAAAAATAGTCCGATTCCTAAGGAAAATGTTTTTTTTTTGTTTTTTGTTGTTTTTTTTTTTTTTGCGGTACGCGGGCCTCTCACTGCTGTGTCCCCTCCCGCCGTGGAGCACAGGCCCCGGACACGCAGGCTCAGCGGCCATGGCTCACGGGCCCAGCCGCCCCGCGGCACGCGGGATCCCCCCCGACCGGGGCACGAACCCGCGTCCCCCGCATCGGCAGGCGGACCCCCAACCACTGCGCCACCAGGGAAGCCCAGGAAAATGTTTTTAAAAGCTCTGTAGGTTACAGGTACTTGACAAATACAAACGTGTTTGGCTCACATCTGAGAGGACTTGCTGTTGAGCTACCATTTATTAAGCCTAATAATGTGCTAGGTACTGAAATATATGCCTTATTCAATTAATATTACATTTAAATCCCATAGCATTCCT